GGGGGGGGGGGGGGGGGGGGGAGTTCCTTCACACTGTTTTCCAGAAAATCGCTTCACTTTATCTGCAACAGTTGGAAACATGCCTGCTAGCTACAAATCACACTTACAGAAAAGGGCTATTAGGTGAAAAATAAGAGATTAATTTGTGATAAACACAGATCAATGTATTCATTGGGCAACTGATACATTTACAAAGTAAACACAAGCATTCGGAAGAATACAGAGGAAGAAAACATGCCTAGCATGTGAAGCCCTGGCTGTGATCTCAGCACTAGAGAACCGAGGGAAATAATCCTACAGAGATAATGAAAGGATAATAAAGCAGTAGCATACCTTTTTTTTTTTTTTGAAGATCTTACATTTCTTTTTAAAAGTTGAAGCACGCTTTAGATCCCAGCACTGGGGAGGCAGAGGCAGGTGGATCTCTGTGCGTTCCAGGCCAGCTTGATCTATAGAGTAGTTCTGAGACATCCAGGGCTACACAGTGAAACCCTGTCTCAAAATCAAAAAAACAAACAAAAGGGGCTGGAGAGATGGCTCAGAGGTTAAGAGCATTGTCTGCTCTTCCAGAGGTCCTGAGTTCAATTCCCAGCAACCACATGATGGCTCACAACCATCTGTAATGGGGTCTGGTGCCCTCTTCTGGCCTGCAGGCATACACACAGACAGAATATTGTATACATAATAAATAAATAAATAAATAAATAAATAAATAAATAAATAAATAAATAAAAACAAAAAACAAAACAAACAAAAAAGTATGATCAAGTGACTTTGTGCTTGTCCTGGTGGTGCCTCTATTTCTGCCAACCCTCTACTGCCCTCTACTGCTCAGTTTGTCTCATTGCACAGCAGTTTAATGACTGAGTAGTACTTGTGGCCATTCCTTGACTTTATGTGTAGCATCCTCACTGAACCCTGCTCTATTATTTTATTTTCTCATAGTATTGGTGAACCAGCCTAGGACCTTGACCATGCCAGGCAAATGTGTAGTGCGAATTCTAATTGGTCTTAATAATAAAAACGCGGAGACAGATATTAGGGGGCGAAAGCTGAAAGATCAGAGAAGCAGAGCAGCCGGTCACTAGTTCTTACCTCTATGAAATCCTCAGAATCAACAGGGCAAAATCCTATCTCTAAGAATTCTCAGACTGAATGGGGATCCTGTCTCTACAAGTTCTCAGACTGATTGCCTTGAGTTCCTGTCTCCTCCTGCCTTTGATATTCCTCTCTGCCCAGCCATATCCCTTCCTGCCTCCGTCTCCCTAGTGCTGGGATTAAAGATGTGAGCCACCACTGCCTGGCCTCTATGGCCACACTCTCACCCTTAGGCAAGCTTTATGTGCTATAGCACAAACAAAATATCACCAGAGGAAGTCTTACTTCCCCCCACACACGGTTTTTTTTGTTCTGTTTCTGTTTTTTTTTTTTTTTTTTTTGAGACAGTGTCACACTACATAGCTCAGGTTGGCCTAGACTTAGTATATAGTCAAGAATGACTCTGAAGAAAAAACAGAATGACTTTGAGCTCCTACACCTAGTTTTTGGACAGGATAAAAACTTTTTATATTTGTTTATTTGTGGGAGGAGGGGAGTTTGAGCCATACCATCTCACTGACTCTCCCCACCCCCACCGGGGTCGAACCTAGGATCTCAAGCAGATGGGCAGGAGTTATAACGCTGAGCTCCACTCTCAGGGAGGGATAGTGATTCTCAGCTAAGCTCTGTCTACCCTCCAAAACTAGTCCTTTCATAACGTATTATACAGAATATATCAAGTAATATGGAACATTGAGGAAGAAGCTTCTAGATCTATTTGGGGTTGGTGTAATCATTGTATCTGTCAAACTTTATTGAGAGGATATGATGAGATTTCACAGGGCCTTGAAGGTCAGGCTAAGGAGGAAGTCTCAAAACCAAAGGTCAGGCCTTCCCATCCTGGGGCATGTTTCCTGAGGGTTCCGTCTTGTGGTCAGGGATAAGAAAAAAGAATGTGGGTAGCTGGATGTGGTATCTTATACCTGCAATAGTACTCTGTAGGTTGAGGCAAGAGGATCGTCTCAAGTTAAAGGTAGTCCTGAACTACAGGGTGAGATTCTATGCCAAGGAAAATGGTGGCGTACACCTTTAATCCCAGCACTTCGGAGGCAGAAATGGGCAGAACTCTGTGAGTTCAAAGCTAGTCTGGTCTACAATGTGAGTTCCAGGACAGCCAGAGCTGCTACACAGAGAAACCCCGCCTCAAAAAACCAAAACCAACCAACCAAATAAATAAGTAAGTAAATCGGGAATTTCCAAAGATGTTTACTAGCTGAGGTAAGTTGTTCCCCATCTGTCATTAAAATGAGTTAGTGGTGAGGCCACGCTATATTGGATACTGGGAAAACATGGACTGTGATCCACAGAAAAGCTCTAGACCAAGTGCGTGGTGGGAGGAACTGCCTTCGGGTAGTTTGTGAAAATTTTACTTAGAATCAAAATAAAAAGCAAAACAAAAAAATACAGGTGAAGCCCCTTGCCCCACCTTGACGCACTTCTCCCTTTGCGTGGTGCTGGGGATCGAACCTAGGACTCCTGCACATGCTAGGGATGCCCTCTGCCACCAAGCTAAATCTTCATTCTTTCTTTCTCTCTCTCTCTCCCTCTCTTTTGGTTTTTCGAGACAAGGTTTCTCTGTGTATCCCTGGCTGTCCTGGAACTCACTCTATACCAGGCTGGCCTCGAACTCGGGAGATTCGCCTGCATCTGTCCCCTGAGTACTGGGATTAGAGGCGTGCACCATCACTGCCCAGTTTAAATATATTTTTTAAAAATAACTATTTATTTATTTATTTATTTATTTATTTATTTATTTATTTGCGTTCTGCCTGCATTCCAGAAGAGGACACATCTTCTGCAATGAGATCTGGTGCCCTCTTCTGTGAGTGTAGTCAGAGTTTTTAACCTCTGAGCCATCTCTCTAGCTCTTCATTCTTTTTCTTTAAACTTTTTATGATTTATTTCACTTTACTTTATGTGCACTGGCATGAAAGTGTCAGATCGCCCTAGAACTGGATTTATAGGTAGTTGTGAACTGCCTGCCATGTGTATGTTGGGAATTGAACCCGGGTCCTCTGGAAGAGCAGTCAGTGCTCTTAAGCACCAAGCCATCTCTCCAGCCCTAGCTCTTCGTTCTTTCTCTTTGGAAAAAAGTTAAACTCTGAAGCCGTTTCCCACGCTTCTCTAATAGGTTTGGCTAGTGCAAAGTTCTTAGACCCGGATTCAATACTCAGCACTCGGCACCAGCTATCACCTTTGTCACTATCAGCACTGGCGGTCACGTCATTAATGGTGGTGACCTTGATGGATCTAGAAAGAATATTGAGATAAATGCAGTGGCACTAGCAGAGACTTATTTTTGTCAGGTGTCCCAGCCATATGTGGGACACACAAGTTATTCAAAACGCTTGCTGCCTGAATACGCAAATGCTTTCCTAATGATTCTTAAGCTCTGTTATTTTGCAGGGCTGGGAGCACTTGGCGGTGAGCTCCAGCCCAACGCTGCAAGCTCTGGGAAGGCAGGGACCGGCGCTCCCGGCTGTCTCGGCTTTAGAACTGGGACTGCAGGAGGGCTGGCTGATCCCGACTGCAGGGAGAAAAACCACTATGGGGCAGAATTACCTCACTTAAGCGGAGGTAGACTACCGGGAGGGAGCCTTCTACAAAGACGAAGAAATGGGGAAGAAAGCCGCAAAGGCTGTTGGGAGCGTCGGTATCCGGTATCCGGAGGACCGCAAAGCGCTGACCTTACACGCGAGGCGGCAAGCCCCGCCTACCGAGCAGCTCACGTGATCTGGGGGCGGGACCACGTCCGGGTTCGTAGGAGTCGGAGCTATGGCGGGCTTGGTTGACTTCCAAGACGAGGAGCAGGTGAAGTCTTTCCTGGAGAACATGAAGGTGGAGTGTCACTATCAGTGCTACCGCGAGAAGGACCCGGATGGTGAGCGCCGCACGCGCAGCTGGGGATGCCGAGAAGGGGCGCGAGCGTTTGGCTAGGACGAGGTCACGTGGCGGGTGGAGGACACCTGAGGACGCGGTCAGGGACACTAGCAAGCTGTGGGCGGGGACTTGGGGTGTACCGGGGGCGGGGCTTCTGCGGAGGGGCGGAGCCCTCAGGCTAGACCCGGCGTGGTCGGGTTTAGGGAGGAAGGACCGGAGATGCAATGGTGAACTCGCAAAGGAAATAAGTGAAATATGTGATAATAGTAGATGCGAATCAGGTTAGGATAAAAGAACTGGTACTGCACAATGGAATGGCTTTTGAATAAACTTATAAAGGAGGGGACAAACCATTGTAGGTCTTTGCCAGGCAGAGGTAATAGCTAATGAAAAGATCTGAGACAGAACTGGCCTCGTGTGTAGTGAGGTGGTTGAGTGTAGGATTGATTGACGCCCAGAGAAGCAGAGTTGTTTTCCTAGTGTTTTATTTATTTTGTAGTCAGTGGAGGCAAGGTGGGAAAACAGTTCTCTTTTGGAAGGTCGAAGTCAGGATCTGTCAGAATTAAGTCAAATTAATTCTTGTGGTGCAGTCTTGAGACTCAAACCCGGGCTTCTGTGCGTATTAGGCAACTCTTTAACCACTGTGCTCTGCCTCTGGTTCCAGAATGAAGTTTGTACAGGGAGCCTGGGTTGCAGTGTGTCCATCCTTCTAAGGCAGGAACTTGATCCTTTAGAGATGTTTGAGGGGTTCATGGTAGTTGGTGTGTGTTATGTGGAGACTACAGAGCTGTGAGTGGAGAACGGGCTGAGGCCTGGGGATGTGGGTGCTCGTGTTCACCCCGAGTTCAGTTCCTGGTTTAATAATCTGGGTGTGGCAGCATATGCCTGGCCTGGGTGTGATCCTGGCACTCTCGGAAGTGGAAGCAGGGAGGGTCAGGGACAGACAGCCTCAGCGACGTAGTGAGTTCTGGTCCAGTCTAAGCTATATAAGACCCTGTCTCAAGGAAATAAATAGAATTAAACAAACAAAGATAACATGTGTTATGATTTTTGGTGTCAGAATGTCCCATCATCCTGTAGTCATCCAGGCAGGTGCAAACATGTGCCTCTGTGTAATGTTTTTACAAAGGCAAAGCGAATCTTAGCCCATTCCCTCCTTTATAGCTTACTTGTGTTAATTTTTATTGCGGGGCTAGAGATTGAACAGAGGGCCTCCTACGCTCTAGCAAGTGCTGTGCCGCCTAGCTACACACAGCCTAGCTACACACAGCCTAACTGCACACAGCCTAGCTACACACAGCCATTTGAGTAAGAGCTAGGCTCTATCTGGCTCTACCTGTACCCACTGAACAGCAGCAGCTGGCATGAGCAACTCTTCCCTCTCCTAGGTTGCTATCGGCTGGTGGACTATCTGGAGGGGATCCAGAAGAATTTTGATGAAGCTGCCAAGGTGCTGAAGTTCAACTGTGAGGACAACGGGCACAGTGACAGCTGCTATAAACTGGGGGCCTATTACGTGACTGGAAAAGGTAAGGTGCCGTCTTCACATGCCTCACAGAGTACAGGCAGGTGGTGGGAGAGAGTGGCCCTTTAAGTGAAGCAGCCTTTGAGGTTACTGTTTGCACAGTGTGGGACCTTGAGCTAATTAATTTTCTTCTTTTTCTTAAAGAAGTTTTTAAAATTACATTTACTCATTTATTTTGGTGTGGGGCAGGTGTGTACCATGTCCCACATGTGGAGATCAGAGGACAGCTGACAGAAGTTGGCTCTCCAATTCCACCATGTAGGTTCTGGGAATCGAATCCAGGTCCTCAGAGTTGGCAGCAGCAAGTCATGTCTCTGGCTCATGATTAAAATATTTTTAGACACGGTTTCTCTACAGCCCTGTCTGTCCTGGAACTCACTCTGTAAACCAGGCTGGCCTCACACTCACAGAGATCCGCCTGCTTCTGCCTTCTGGGTGCTGGGATTAAAGGCATGGGCTACCAGGTCTAGCTCATTATTTAGGATAGGATTTTACTCTAGTTTTGTTGGCTGCTCTGGCTAGAGTCTCTGAAAGGAGAAAACCCCAATTGAGAAAATGCCTGCATAAGATCAGGCTGTAGGGCTACCCTGTGGGACATTTTTTTTGTTTTGTTTTGGGTTTTTTTGTTTGTTTGTTTTTAGCTTTTGTTTGTTTGATTGATTGAGTTTTGTTTTTTTGAGACAGAGTTTCTCTGTGTTGCTTTGGAGCCTGTCCTGGAACTTGCTCTGTAGACCAGGCTGGCCTTGAACTCACAGAGATCCGCCTGCCCCTGCCTCCTGGGCGTTAAAGTTCTGTTGCCGCCACCACTCAGCGTGTAGGACATTTGCCTAATTAGTGATTGATGGGGGAAGGCTAAGCCCATAGTGTATGAGACCACCCCTGGGCAGATAATGGTCCTGGGTTCTATAAGAAAGCAGGCTATGGTATACAAAATGAGTTCCAGGATAGCCGGGACTGTTACACGGAGAAACCCTGTCTCAAAAAAGTAAAGGAAAAAGAAAGCCAAGGGTGGATTATGGATATGGAAGAATAAGCCAGATGAATCCTTTCCTCCCCAACTAGTTTTTGGTCATGGTATTTAATCATAGCAATAGAAACCCTAAGACACTGGCCTAGAATTCAATTTGTAGTCCAAGCTGGCCTGGAATTTTCAGGAACCTCCTGCCTCTGCTTCCTGAATGAGAAATTACAGATTAGGTGCTGTTGGAAGGACCAGCCTTTGGTAGCTCAGGAATTGAAGGGGAGCCATGGAGTCGGCGGGACTAATCACTCAATTGACCTTTCTATCTGAGGGAGTAAAACTTGATTCTCTGGGGCCAATGAGAACTGGAAACACTCTTTCTCACCCCCCCCCCC